TTTTGACACCGCTCAGTTGAAGGTGTGGAACTCAAATCGAGCTCAACTTGTTGGCAAGAGCTGGGAGGTTCCACGTTGAGTATACATAATGCAAGTGTCATTGGGGCATCCTGTAATGTTGCATCCTAATTAGCTTCATGGGACGGAATAAAACATCGACAAATTATTCATACAACCTGATTAGTTTAATAGGACGGAAAAAATCGACAAATTATTCATACAACCAGATTAGTTTAATGGGACGGAATGATATATATAAAGTCTTTTTCACCCAGGGTGTTTTTGAAATATTATTGATTTGTCTACTACTGCTGCTAGTAGTAGTAGTAGTAGTACTACTACTACTACTACTACTACTACTACTTACTACTACTCCTGCTACTACTACTACTACTACTACTACTACCACTACGACGACGACTACTACTACGACGACGAATACGACGACGATGATGACGACTACTACTACTGAGTTTTGCTTGATTCATGGAACCCTTACCTGACAACTGTTTAACATCACCGTCTTAAAGCTCATCGACTTCATTGCCTCAAGCAATTTTTAAGGGGGGTAGTACACAAGCCCCGGATATATAAGTGAATAATACGAATTGTTTAGGGGGTGGGGTTAAAAGCGAACTTGAAGCCCTTGGAAAAAGCATCTACAATTAGTTCTATATTGCTCTCTTACTCTTGCCTTTTAAGATGATTGCTTAACTCTTCTAAGGCTTGTTTGATTCACGGAACTCTGACCTGAAAACCGTTTTTTTTAAAACAATCCCTGGTTAAAACTAATCGATTTCATTGCCCCAAACCATTTTTTCAAGGGGTTAGTACGGTAGTACACAAGCCTCGGGTAAATGAATAATACGAATTGTTTAGGGGGTTGGGTTAATAAGCAATCTTGGAGCCCTAGAAAATCTTTGCGATAATTATATATTGCTTTGCTATTGCTGCCCCTACCCCTACTACTGCTTTTACTACGACGAAGACAACGACAACTACTACGATGACTATTACTACCATACTACTACTACTACTACCACCACCACTACTACTACTACCACCACCACCACTACTACTACTTGTTGTTTTTGTGGCGGTGATACTGTTCAGACCCCCTGGATTGTTTGCTAGGGGGGGTGTTTATACTAATTAAGATCTAACATTTTCAGGTTTGTGCTAATCATAGTGGTTTTGGGCATATCTGAGGAGGATGGAAGGCATGCGGGGCTGTTTGAGTGGTCGTATGATTGGCTGAGGCTTCCACCTTGGGCAACTTCAACGGAGATGCCCAAGGAGGCAACCGTTGCGCCGGTGGGTGCTTTGCCTCCCGAGTTGCTGAAGCAAGTCCGCCGCTCGAGGGCAGATCAATCGGGGCTGTTACCTACCTATTTTTCGTTTGTGGATCACGAATCCAACCACACGGATCATGAAGCTCAGGCCAGCTGCAGAAGCAGCACCAAAGCATTTTGCAGCGCCGCCAAGCAAAGGAAGCCTTAGAAGCGGAGCGCGCGGAGCGCCTCGCGGCGCAGCAGGAGGGCTTCGCTCAGGTCGGCGGGGAAAGGAAGTGGAAGAAGGGCGGGAAAAGTATCTCGAAACAAGCTGAGGATGAACTGGGGTTTGGATTTTCAGGATTTCAGGTTAGGTCTCAGTCCTGCTCAAGTGCTTTTCAGGCTTTTGATAGACAAGCTGCGCCTTGTTTGATCCACTTTGGGATGGAACTGGGGAAGGTGACGAGAACAGACATTTGGAGGCTAGGCCCCAGGCATTCGTCCAGTTTCAAGGCACTTGGGGCCGATAGGGTCCGAAAAGGACGCTCTTGCATGGATCTTTCTGCCAACATGTACTGCTCAGATCTGGCAAAACCCATTATACCCGCGGGGAAGGACCATCCCGCACGGAGTGCAACCTGCTTGAAGAACAAAACAAATATATAAATATATAAATATATATAGGTGGATGAACTGTTTCAGGTTCTTTCCACTACGGATGGCCTGTCCTTTCAGGATGGCCAAGATGGCCTTGAAACAGGAGATGTCCTTGACATGAATGTACACGATACCCAAGAATCTTCAACGCTCCATGAAGTCTTTCCTTCTTCGCCTTTCTTCTTGCATAAGCCTTTCAGACGCCTTTCAGACTCTCGGCCCGTCCGAAGTCATTGAAATGAACGTCACCTTCGCCGTCAGTTTATAGAGATTTTATCCTTTGACAGGCATTCTATAGCCCAGACACGACTAATGGGACTGCCAGTGCGGACTGCCGAGAAACGGCCAGGGGTGGTTGACTGGGTGTCAATGGGCACATATGGCAGTCCCGTGTTTGGGTACCATTTCTACAAATGCTCGGCAAGTGACACAGCACGGAGGATCACCTGGATCGCACCGGGCCCTTTCAGGTGGGTCCACCGAAGCCGGCGGTGGATGCGAGCGACACCCAGCGGGGTCATCCGACAGGCCGAAGGCAAGGCTGGGGGGAAAGGGATTTGGATGAAAGCCTTTGAAGAAACACAATGCAAAAGATACAAAAAAACAGCTTTAACACTTCTTTGTTGATGTGTGTTGCCTTATCGTCATACCATCCAAACTATCCTTTAAGCGTTGGTCCTTCCAAAGGATTCAGGAATGTGGGAGCGCTTCTTGCAATTGGATACATGGAATGTCAGAAATGTTCAAGAAACAGTTGTTTGGGAACAGACAAGTCCGCCTACCAGGAAAGGATTCCTACATGGACACCGCATATGATTATATACGGTCAAGCAATATGTTGTTCATTTTCGTTCTGAACCTATTTGAGGTCATATATGGTCATGAGACGTACTAAATCTACAGTGGATTTGTCTACAGTGTACAGATCGCACGGAGATGCACAGAGGAGTCATGTCCATATATATTCAGTGGCAGATTTGCCATCATGGAATATCTCCAGGATGGCGAGATGAACTGACTCCTAAAAGGATCCAACAGGTAAAGAAAGATTGGACAAAGGATCACAGGCCCGGCGAGTTTGTCCGGCGATGTTCATCGACTTTTTGCTCCTTGGGTCTTTTGATTGATCAGCTCGCACACTTGGGAAGAGACCCACATGGAACCTGATGATCTGATGGCATGGACCTTGGAAGACTATTTCCGTGTATGCCTGTATACACCCCAGTGGGTTTGGGGGTCCATGTCAATCTTCCAGCTCGAAGAACGGAGACTCACTGTTCACTTCGAACTCCGAGCAGGCAGTCGGAGCATCGCCCAGCAGAAGCTTGGGAGACGTGGCTCTATTGTTTGCACAATGGCAACTTAAATAGCGTTATCCTGATGCAGACGGCTGATGAATAAAAAGAAACAATCACATTCCATATGAAGAGGCTTCACAATCACAACGGAGGGTCGCGGAGGGTATTAAAAATAACATATACTACTGAACTTTTCATGATGCCACTCACGCACATAGGCAACGAACTGAGTTCTTTCGGGCAAACAATTCGGACCAAGGACGAGTGGTCATCCGACCAGTGGTCATCGCAGTGGTCGTCGGAGCCCTGGGGCCTGCGGCTTAGGGCACGGCTTGATCTTGGTGTCCTCAAACCAATGGAAGTCCGCAGTCTATACTGTATATATATATAATGGCGTAAAAGAAGCACTGAGTTCGTGAGAGGAACAATTCTGAATGTCGGCGGAAGCATCGGATGGTCTTCTTTGAATGTTGCTGTTTGCGCGGTTGAGTGGCTTGGGTTCCTGCATGTATGCTGTTTACTGTAAGTTGAGGATATCATGCATCTGTTTAAGATGAATGTTGGCCGCTTTGGCTTTGTGTTGGGTTTCTTTGCACCACTGAGGCCACCATGGCAACTTTACGTATGTTTTGATATGTGCTGATGTTCAATCAGTCACGTGGTGAGTTTTCAAGAAACTGGACTTTTTAGCAGAAAGCGGCAGAAAGCATGGAACAGGAACAACTACCTCTGGAGTTCCGCTATGAATTAAACTCATCAAAGTTCTTATATATATATATATTATACATCATGCATAATGTAGTCCAACATAAACTCTTGCAAACTACGCCCGTTTTTGGAGGTGCGGTGCTTCCACCCACCCTACTCACGTGAGTGACATGCACAGCTAGTTCTCCCGCTTCAGACGGCACCAAGGCCGCGGCTACTCCGGCCGACCACGTGGCGACGACGCCAACGGTCCACGGGGCCCGTCAAACCGCTGGAGCCGATCGAATCGCTGAGCCGTTTGGCACGCCGAGTCCTGGACGTCGACTGGCCGCGTTTGTGCGGACGATGCTGGGAGAAGGTGGTATGTGGCTGTGGTATGTGGATGTATGTGGGGAAACTTATTGAAACTGAGATGTCTCCAAGATAGAGCTGGAGTCTAAACTTGACCGAGACTGAGAGAGGTAGATGATATGAGACACTTCTTCGCAGCACACGCTACCGGCATGCAATGTGTTTAATATTTGGTTTGTTCATCTCAGATCAATTAGGGCGGATGGACAGTGAAGGAGGATGAATGCGCACGGTCATGTTGAGACCAATTTTGACTTGCTGAGCACACTTCCCCCCGGTTTTCAGTGTGGGCAAAGTGTTTTGAGTCAGAGCATGCTCGCTCTAAGGTGCTGCTTTCCAGAGAGTTGGAGGTCCGCCCCATTTGGACAGCTTGAGCAATTGGGGATGTCTCAGAATATGGAGAACATGCCAGTGGTGAACATTGACATCCTGGTTTGCATAAACGATGGTTAATTGGAGTTCCCTGTATTCTTGAGACAAACCCAAATGGCTCCTTCGGACAGAAAAAGGAGCGCAGGCATGTGCATGTCCCATCCTGAACGTCTACATGTACAGAAGGCATCCGATGTTATCCTCAGCTGGATGCACTTGACTTCTACTGAGTGTGCAACGTGGTGCACTCCGAGAAATGGAATTACACATTGCTCCCACAGTTGAAGCAATAATCTTGTTTGAATCCGATGCTGTGTCTCCGAAAGAGCATGTTCCAGCTGAGGTGTGGTGCGTGGCCTTTCTCTTCACCATTGTCTTCGGAGCCTTCAAGTGACTGGATGAAGATCCTGGCACAGTTGGAACCCCACCATCAGGTGTGCAAAACGTGGAATCCATTTTGTGCATCAAATCTTGAGTCCATCTCAAAGAATATGAACTGAATTGGTCTAATTCCTATTTTTTAAGTAGGACGCACAGCCACTGGCTCGTCACTGGGAAGATGTCCGCCCTCCAACCGAGGGGCATCCTTGGAGCGGTCACGGTGTCGTTGCTGATGGTCCTCTATCAGGCGTTGTGCACCGACAGCTGTTGTTTGGAATGGGAGCAGTTTCAGAGTCCTGCAGTGAGTGGAATCATTATATTGTAAACATATGCAACAGTCACCAGTTGTCCCATGATGGAACAGATGGGATGGTTGAGAACCTCAGTTTGTTTTAAGTTGGACCGGTCTTTCACACTCCGACGTCCTCCCAACGTCCGAAGAGGCACGCCGTGATTGGGAAGGACGCACCGCTTCCGTCCTTGAGATTCACCTGGGGCAGACTTTGGTCTGAAGACCATGGGGAGAGAGAGAGAGAGGGAGAGAGAGGCAGAGAAAGATGTATATATATATAGAGAGAGAGAGACAGAGAAAGAGAGTGTGTGTGTGTGTTTGTGTGTATTTTTGATTCATAACTCACAGAAAGATCACACAGGACAAATGACAAATAATGTATGGATAATATGACTAATATAGTTTAATGTAGACTATTGATAAATTACTACCCTCATTTGAATTGAACGACCTTTTCATATGGGGGGTTGTTAATCAAGAGTCTACATAATTGAAAAATGAATGAGTCTAAACTAAGAAAAATAGAAAAGTGGATCCCCACGTAGAACATGTATGATAAACCCACCATATGAAGAGGATGCCCAATTCAAACGAAGACTATTACTATGACTGACATCATTGCCGCAGACGTCCGGCTATTGCTTTGGCGAGGTCGCTGACCCACCAATCGCACGGCTGGGCTTTTGCGAGGAGCGCGGCAGGCGCCCATGCCGACATCCCGGAGTCATGACAGATCATGACAGGGTCATCCATGTGCCAAAACTATGCCAGAACCAATAAATGGGGCCTTCCTGAGTTCAGATCGCTTTTTGAGGGGAGGGGGTGACTGACTTGCAACTCAGAACCATCCACCTGTCATGGTTGTTCAGGGTCCAAATCTCCATCTTCACCCCCGGCCACGAGAGCCCACAACGAGTGTTCTCTAGGGGCTGCCCATTTATCACGCAGGGGCCAGACACGACGCAGGGCCGTTTTGGTAGGGAGGGAGGGACGTTTTCGGATGTTTTCGGACAAAAAAGAAACACGAAACACGTTGTTCGTGGTGAAAGACGCTTTTCCATAATGATGTTTGATGATTTTTGTGGAGTTGTGCTGGTTCGCATTGGGACCATCCATGTCATCGAAGGAGTTTCCGATCTTGAGAGGCTTGCTTGTTCTGAAACGATCTCCAGATGCTGGAACCTATGAGAATCCTTGTTCTGAAACCTATGCTCCAATCTTGATACCTAGAATCTAAGAATGTCTTTGAAGACTGGAGATTTTGGAGCGATTCCCACTCCTTGTGAACAAAATAATATCACCCGCAACACCACTGCAGCGCCCGAGGTGGATGGCGGTCAAGGCAACACTCGACACCAACAGGGGTTGAAAGGAGTGGTGGCTGGGGTGTTTGGAGATCATCGGTGCCCTGCAGACGGACCACATGGATCCTGACATATCCTGACAATTGACCCGTGTCTTCGACCATATTCCGAAGACCAACCCGGTGGCTTTGTAGTTCCACGTTAATCTGCAGAGGAGTACCCTGCCGCCCTGAAAACAAACATGGACACTGAAAAGCGCTGCTTTGTCAAGGAGCATAACATAATCTTCCAAGGGTCCATTTGTGACGATTTAGGTGCTGTGCAACCAGCTTGGGTGGAACCGATTTTAACTCCGATCCTTCAAACGCTGTCGAAAAAGGGTGTTCAGAACGAATTTGGGCAGAACATACGCAGTAACAGGGCACTTGAAGACTTCCCTCACGGTTGTAGAGGACAATCACTGGGCTGTCATTCGTTTACAAGGATCTAATGATCTCGTTTGGCAGAGCCTTTCACAATGGCCGTGCACAAAATTTTCCGGGAGACCTCGGGCGTTTCTGGGGGGGTCCTGGATCGGGAAATCGATGGATCGTCTGCAGAGATCCACTTCATTCTGCTCCCCATTTCTCACGACTGGGCGGGACCCGGCATTCGGAGCAAGCGAGCTGGGAGGATGTTACGTTGATGTTTGCTTTATCAGGTCTGGCCATGGAATGGTGTTTTATTGAGTGTATTGGGTTCTTCTTTTGTCCGATGCCAATGATGCCACCGGCAGTTTGGCTTTTGGGTTGCCAGGCTCACCATGAGGTGCGTCAGCGCTTGGGCGTTGTGGCCTTCCGCTTGGAGGGGCCGTCGCTGGGCAGCACGGAGGTTGGGGTGAGTGATAGAGAGATGAACCGATGTATCAAATACAGAATCAAATAATATATCCCTGACGATCCATGACCACACATAGGTCACAAATAGAAATGATCTCAGGATATGCATACGTTTCTATTGATCGTGTTATTTGAAGACGTTGTCGAATCACAGATTGGGGTACCTGAAATGTAGATACAATTCCAGATCATTGTCGGAGGATAAGACCATGAAATCCCAAGAACCAAGCATACCAGGGCGTGACGAACCGTGACAGACCGTGATTGGTCTATTTTGTCCCTTTAAACATGAGGTCATTGTCGGACTCCAGCGTGACAACCCGTGACGAATTTGAATTTGGGATCGTTGGTTTTGTGGTTTTTGGGTTCTGTGGTTTTGTGGTTTTTGGGTCTGGTATGATCTCGTTTTTTGAGGTCGGACCTCACAGGGTGAGGTCGGAGAGCCCCAGAAGACACAACCCCAAATGTTAGCATATAGAGCTAACTTTCGATCCTCAGGGTATATATATAACTATATTATAGAATCGTTTTAGAATAATGATATATAACATATGATAACTAATAATAATGTAAGTAATAATGTAATAATATATTGCTAAATCATTTAATATATTGGTATTTTTTACATTTTGTAGAACACACACATGTATATATAATATATATATGGTACCCCCCCCGGGATAAAATTGTTGGCATGATTTTTAGGCCTTTGTAGATGTATGTTGTTCATAATTTTCAAACAATACAATTAAACAATTTTCATGATATGAAATAATTTGTTCTTCTGAAAGAAATCAAATTCATAATAATTATTGGTTTTGTATGTTATTTAATTATAAAACAATTTGAGTTAACACCCAATTAAAAAATATATATATAAATATTTATTTTTTATGCAAATAATGGTAGTAATAATTAAATTGAAATTCATTTTTGATTAAACCGTATAAACATATATTAATGGATAATTATGGTTTTATGGCATTTGTTGAATTATAAATAAGGAACCATAAATATGGTTTATCGATTTTATGATTGATTGTCTTATGTTTATTTCTATAATTTAATTTGTTTGACATGAATTTTAGGTATTTAGAGATTTAAATCGTTCCATATTTCCTGATTCTTTACATAATAAATAAAATTAAGATCATAAAAACGTATAGAATTGTTTTTAAAATTTAATCAAAAATTAGTTTTAAGTAAAAACTATATAGAAATATTATATAAATATATTTGTAATTAATTTTGCTTCTAAGGATTAAATTGAAATTGACTGTTGATTAATCTTAAAACAATATAAATATGTATGCATATATTTCATTTTTGGAGCTCAGACTATCGTGCAAAAAACTCTGGTCCACATCTGGTCAAACACATAAAAGGTAGGTCCCGGGGGGGGCTAGCATATATATAAATATATATTTAGACAGCTTAGGCTAGCATAGAAGATAGTGAATCTTTTTAAAACAGGCTATCTCCAACAACTGATGTCAGAAGTACACAGCCTCGCTTAGAAGTCCTATTATCATTATCACTAGCTAGGACATTAGGTTGCAGAGTCGACAGGGCGACTGTCCTCGCTTTCCCGTAGTAGAAGTTGTTTTGCATGGAGATCAACATGCGTTCTTGGCATTTTCCCTTCCAATATTAAGATGTAGTACAGAAGTCGTTTCTGCATTTTTGGTGCCCACCCTCAAAAAGGTGTCGAGAAAAAAGCTCAGGGCCCAGTTTCGGTGAGGTTGGGGGGGTGATTCTGCGGAAGCAAAATCATGGTGCCACTCACTCAGGTTGTTCTATGCCAATGTCGAGCGGCTTGAGGATGGGGATGTTTTTTCAATGTCAGGGTGCGACGCGGGTGCGGCGAAGTCCGTGTGCGAAGAGGTTTCGTTTGGGTCTTCGCGCTTCTTCGCTTCTAAGAAGGACGTCTCCACAAAAGAAATGGCTCCAGCAGTCACAAGATGGGGTGGTGTTTAGTCCCCAAGTGACTGGATGGGCACCCCGACTACCTCCCTCCATGGATCGCCTTCCATCGAACGTGACTCCTGGTTCCCCTTCCTTCGCGTTCCGCCGGACCCAGAGGAACCGCCTCATCCGACGCTGCGAAGCCTCCCAGGAGTGGCTCGCAGAAATGGAGGTCGCCTCGGGTGCCGCCGGGCAGCCCGTGAAGGCGAGCGGTAGCCGAAGGAACGGGACCGACGGGGGAAACGGCAAGAGCGGCATCTGAAAGGAGCGCCATGAGACACAGGGTTGGCAGCATGAGGCAGCATGATGTTCCATTCTCAGAATCATTGTGCCATTTCTGATCTGAGAGCATTTGAGACATGGATTTTGGAGCGTGAGCCATAGGTCAGCATCCATGTGCTTAATTGGTGCTGAACTTGCGGTAGGTCATGTGTCACACATCACGATGCATCGCTGCATCACGATGTTTCACTCCAAGAAGTCATTGTTTGAGAAAATCCGTGATGGATTTGACTTCAAATGACTTCAAAGATCAAAATGGATCAAATTTGCACCTTGTTTTCCACCAGACTTACCTGCCCACGTGCCGCCCGCATGCCGCCCCGCTCGGTCGATGGAGGCGGTGATCCTCTCGGTGGCATCCTCAGGGGGTCGTTGGGCGAAGAGGAGGAGGAGCTGAAGGCTGCGAAGCTAGGGTGATGGCTCATGATGGTTTTGGGGGATTTGTACGTGGTACGTGGTACGTGGAATCCCTGTGAATCCACCCAATTGAGGAAGTTCTGCTTGTGAACTTGTTAAACTTTCCTGAAGTTCCTGAAGCAAACCAAAGTGAATACTCATGGGGGTTGGGTGAGGTGCAAGTCCCTTTTAGCTACCCGCCAAGCAAAATCCTCAGTCACTCCATCCCCAAAAAGGCCGCTGAAGGTTTTGCGCATGTCCCATGGTGTTCAGTGGAATGAATCTGGAATGACGAGGTCCTTTGGAAAGAATGCCGGGAGCCGTGCCGCTGCAACCAATTCTCATGAATTCTTGCCATCGGCCATCGGCTAGGCAGCAGCGATGCCCTTTGTGGACACCACTGCGCTGGAATCCATGAAGCAGCTGCTGCTGTCCTACACTCAACGTGCCTGGAATCAAGCTCGTGGTCCCTTCCGGAAGGGTTTGACCCACCCACTTGAGGGGTTTCCCGCGTGCAACTTCGGAGACCTCTCAAGAACCTATCGGCAGAACATAGAGCAATACAAATGTGTGGTTCCTGGTGGGTCCTGTATAACTCCGAATGCGTTCCTCCGAGTCGGAGGAGCACGGCCCCTTTATCAACCCATCTATGAGAGAGAGAGAGAAGAAAACGCGCAGTATATCACAGTATATACTCCCAGAATTGGTTTAATCAAGGGAAAAGTTACAGGAAACCGATGGTTTGGGGGGGGTGAAAGCTGTGAAAGCCTGGCCGTAGATTTTTCCATAAACCAATTCATTGATATACCAGCTGCCTATAGATCCTATAGCGTCAATGTGCTCCGCTGACCACTAGGAAGGATCAGATGCACACGGGGGATGATGGTTGGAAACACAACTTGTAATCATGCCTCTTGAATCCGTTTGATTCTTTTAAGCACGTTGGAGCTTGCTGCGCTTGTGGGATGGACTGGATGCTGGGAGCAAGATGGATGCAGTCCTTGTCTCGCCTCATCTCACCCTTTGCCGCCAAGAAGCCCTCAACATGCCGCCCTTGGGTGGCAATTCCAAAGGGCCACCAGTCCCAGAAAGCCTCAATCACTATAGCATCTAGCATCTTCAGCGCTCGTCAGTGCCGATCTATGCGCATGGCCATGGTCCGCGCAGGTGAGATTTGGTCCAACATGGCCTACCAAGGTCTTCCATGGCCTACCAGACCAGACCAACCACGAGGCTATCACGGTGTGCAGCTTTCAATGGGCCCGGCACGCTGGGGGAGTCCGTCGTACATCTTCCGCACCCGCTGAGTGCGGCTTGCGCACCTGAGGGCCGTGAGCACTCAGCGGCCGCCCTGCCGTGAGCACTGCGGCCGCTTTCTCGCGGCTCCCGGGCGAGCTGACAAAAGGTAGCAGACCAAAAGGATCAAAAAGGCATTTTTCAGGAGCACTTCAAGCACAGGAGTCTTGGGAGCTGAAGCCAAGGAGTCTTAGGAGCTGAAACAGACTGCAGTCCAAGCTTCGCAGCTCGCGAGTCCGACGAGCAAACAGCGGCCCTCCAAAAAGACGGTGTTCCACCAGGGGGCGACGAACAGTGGCCAATGCGCGTGAGTCATGTTTTTGGAGGATTTCGCATGGAATCCGGAACAACAGTTCAAAGGTTCATGTTGCACAGTATGCAGCATTTCCATGCTGAGATGTGCACAAGGTTACCAACCATCCGACAAACAATGTCTAGCTACTCAGACTCGAGTCTTTTTCATTGGCTCCGTCCAACTCGCATGCGGACCGGCATGGGCTCCCTACGGATCTATCGGCTCCGGACCGTGATCCGTATGTCAATCGGCTCCTACTGTCATCGTACTGCCACTCAGATCACATCGACGAAAACCGGCACAAGCATTCTTCCCGGCGGCCTGTTTCATGCCATGTCGAGTCGGAGTATATGGAACACAATATGGATCCCAAACCCGAACCCATGTATGGAATAGTTACCTACATTTACACCCATTTCTGGCCCCAATGTAGGTAGACTAAGTGGTATATATACTGCTAGTGGTCGGCTTAAGTCGTATCAACCCCTGGAAAGTCGTATCGGGAGGCTGTGCGCTAGGCAAGAGTTGAGTTTGGCAAGAGTTGAGTCGTTCCAGTGCAAACATGTTCAGCAAACATGTTCGTATTCTGGGTATGGACCTGTTGCCTATCCCAACTTCTCCGGTTTCCGAGGAAACATCGCCTTTCTGGTTTCCAACGTCTCGGGTCAGCCACAGAAGATCCTCCAGCACCTCGGTCGGAAGGAGTGGCGTCAGATGGGGAGCCCTTGGAGAAACCAGAGAAAGTCCTGGCTTGGAGAAGCCGCGAGTCAAGTAAATCTTGCACCAGGAGTCACATGTCGGAGTGGCGTTGAGTCCCTAAGTGAGTGGATCATGGGCACCCCTAACCTCCATGGATCGCCCCCCGTCTTGTGACTGCTGGTGCAGATGTTTACACTGGAAGTTGGGATTTTTTTGGTGCATGTGATCAAAGGAAAGATAGAACAGGTGGTTGACGTTGAGTGAGAACAGAACGAACGTTGTTGAGGAAGATCGGCTCTTATGTCATTTTATGTCTCGAACTAGGGCAAAAGCATGCTAAGGCCGAACTGGATGCTCGAGCAGATAATGAGCTAGCTCAATGGTCGCTGGTTCATCATCCGTGTCTCCCCAAGCTTGTCGTCTCTTTGATTGGACATCTGTGGCCTGAAACAGCCACAAATCCAGAGTGTCCCCAAGCAACTATCAGCCGTTTCGGGCCATAGGTCTACCACATGTCTACCACTTCTGTTTCTCAGACCCCCAAAAACCCGGGCTCAGCACCGAGTCCGACCGGCTATCGTAACCCAAGGTCAACAGCAGAAAACCCGTGATGATCCCCGTGAGTGACTGGAAGGAAACGAGGAGTGGAAACGAGAGAAAGTTTGGTTTAACGAAAACACATACCCCAAACGCTCCATGGGACTGCCATAGGACTGCCGATCCATTGGGGGCCCATGGAGTGTCTGGGATATGTAATACAATGTAATACTTGCTTCACCCCCCCAAAAAACCTTTTGGAGAGACCTGTTCTTGGGGGAGAACTGTCCAAACATCAGATTGAGATCAACCACAAGTAGAGTGTTTGGGGGTAGTGAAGTCCAAAACCAGGCCGCGATGCCGCGATGCCAAGGCATGTCCTGGGTGATTTGCTGCCACTTGGATGGGAGAGCATGCAGAGTCCGAGCGTGCAGAGTTGGATTTGGACAGCACAATGGCATTCCTTTCCTCCGTCCCAAATGTCCCAAGTAACATCATGTAACATAGAGATCCACAGAAGGGGGCTTGGTTTTGTTGGTTTTGACTGTTTTGAAGAATTACCTATGTTTGATCTATTTATGAATATTTAGATGATATTTTTACGACTATATATCAATGTTTGTTTGATCAAGTCTTTGCTCTCTTAGTTTGGGGCTGTGAGTTGAACCTCATTGGCATTTGAGGCCCGAAGGATGCTTGACATCTTCATGGACGACAGAGGACTGCAGTAGTGACGGTGGGTGGATCAACTGGCCTTTGCTGACCGAAGCCTCCAACAAACATGGAAGCTCTGTGAAAGGATGAGGCTATGATGTTCCTTTTGCACCTTCATGGGTCCTGGTTTGGTTAATTTGACTGAGTATTGGACCTTTGTTTGAGTGTTGTTCAGCTGTTTCTTGAGTTTGTGGCCCCTTTTCATCCCATTGGGCCGAAGGAATGATGATTCTAAACTTCCAAACGCTTACCCTGGGCCCCCGAACCGCGCGTCCATCCGATGCATCGCCTCCGCATCGGATGATCGTTCCTACCCAGACGTCCTCCATGGTGCTTCCACCGATCGACGGGTGCTTCGACCTCTCGAGACCCCCAGGTCGTCCCCGACCTGTCTGGGACTGGAGCTGCCAATCCGGAATAGCTTGGACTCCGAAGCTCTCAATGGAGTCCCGCTGGTGCGACGACCAACGCCCAGTTCCGAGACCCGGAACCCTCCAAAAGCCAGCAGTGGTTTTGGTCACCGGTCCCATGCCCTTCGCCCGGTTCCACGGGGGTCTCGGAGCCGGGTGTATGGAGGTCGATTCGCAGGTCTCGGTGGCTAGCGACCGGCTCGCGTCGGGTGCAAGATGTGGAGGGTCCTGGAGGGTCAAGGAAGCAAACCTCAAGCAATCAACCTCAAGCAATAAACCCACCTGGAACCCCAAACAACCAGAAAGAAATTGATGTTTCCCCAAACAACCATTTCCTATGTAAAGGATCTCAATTGCCATATCACGAAAGCTAGCGAAGCTAGCTGGAGTTACTCTTGCGATAGCAAGGTTTCTTTCGACCGGGTGCAAATCCTAACCCCTGATTTTTCAGGTCGAAGACCCCCCCCC